GTGTTAGTAACATTCTGCTCTTTCCTTTAATTCCTTGTCTGAAGGAGGACTCTCTCAAAGTGGAGAAGACTCCCTTGCTGAAGAAATTTGTACACAACTATATATATTTCTCTACATTTTATCTTCCCTTCATTATATATTATCCTTTATTTAATCTTTTTTTTTCTGTAACTATTGTTTAGAAGAAACATTATTATTGCTTAAATTGTTAATTGTATATTCCCCTTTAACCATACAAGATATATTGCATCTTATTAAAAGATATAGCGCGCTCAGCGCTTCCATCTTGAGCATATAGATGGAGCCATGTGTTCTGTTTATTTGTATTACCTATCCCCCTAGCACATATAGGACATGGTAATCATGGTGGGTATTTAGCGACTCTAAGTACACCACATGCCTAAATGTTTAGAAGCCGTTAGATTTTGAACTTATAAGTTGTGGTGGTGTCTTGTCCATGGAACAGATCAGATCGGTCCATGCACCCTGATCACAATACCGGCCAACTGAGGTGCCTTGTCCGTATGGATGTCCTCTTCTGGATTGATGTTTACCATATAGAGGGCAGCAAGGATGGCCGGTAAACTGTATATGTGGTCTGTAGTGAGTTGGGTGTTGTGACAGTTATTGCAGTTCTGTAGAATATAGTCATGTTTGGATTTATCTTCATTCCTTGACTTTTAACTTACTATAAATGTTTGGTTACTTGCATGTACTGGTCGGGTTGGACTTGTGCCAGAATTGGTGTCAATTAATCAATATATTCATGTAAATATTTTAAATAAAAATGGCCAATAAGGGATTTGGGTGTAGGTTTTGTTGAAAATCGATTATCCATTCCAAAGAACCGCCAAAACTTTATTCTACCGACATTTATCGTTTCAACTTGTTTTACCCATTTAGCTTTTGTTTATAACAACAACAAAAGCTTTATTAAGACCTTTCAGTCTTATACAGATTCTCCGAGTAGAAGTGTAGAGTACATGCAAGAGTAACAGTAAAAATACCAGTAATAAGCATTGCTATTATTATTATTATCATTTTAAAGCTAATCACATAAAGGTAATATGAAATTTATATACAGGAAAACTTAATTAAGACAATCAAGCTAAAATATAGATGCTTTTGTTTATATGTCGTGGTTGTATCGTACGTTGTTTTGTCGCTGTTTTGATCCTTTACAGCTTTCATTATTTCCTTGTTGTGTTTTCGCCATTCGTGTGTAAATATCCTGATAAACCTTAAAATAAGTTGGATGTTTTTATTTAGCAGATTAAAAAAGTACTCTCTAGATCAGTGATTCTCAACCTTTTTTTTGTTGCGGCATTATTTTAAAGATTTGAAAATTTGGCGGCACAATTTTAGAATTTCGCGGCACACTTTTGCTAACTTGAATTCAAGAAAATTCAAATTATGTATCAATATTTCTATGCAAAATATAAGTAATATACATCTCTAACATTCAATTTGCTAATTTCGTTATTTTAAAAAGTAAAAAAATGAAAAAGAAAAAAAGAAAAACCAATACAAACGTGAACATAATCATATGACTAAAATTCGGCGGCACATTTTTAGAATTTCGCGGCACACAAAATTACCGCGGAACACTGGTTGAGAATCACTGCTCTAGATCGATGTCCTAAGCAAAACCAAAACCAAAAACATAAGTTTCGGTTTCTTATCATTTCACAGTATTGCGCAACCTATCGCAAGTAATCCTATGACGTGGTACATCCTGATTGGCCGTCGGCTATCACGTGTTAGGATGTGTGGAAAAACACAACAATAATCTGTAGTTTAAAAGGCTTTGAGAGTCATCTCTACCCATATGACCGACATCTATCGCAAGTCAGATTGCTAGCAGCAACCAGGTAGGTGTTCTTTTGCCAAATGGATAGGCCTCATTTTTCACTTGAATTTCTTTCCTTTTTGAAACGTTATAATATAAAATATCGATATATCTGTTATGTCTTTATATTTAAATTAATGACATTTGTTTGCACACAATAACTAAAACAATTTATTCTCGAAATATGTTTTGATTACAACGTAGATGATGATAAAAAAAAACAGAGTATATAAAATAAATGATATACAATACACAACAATATCCATCACCAGTTAGTTGACTAGGATAAATATCCATCTTCATATAAAGGACACTCATTTATTTTGTCGGCTTCTAAAGGCGGATTAGGTCAACGGCACATATTGATGAGGAAGGGGAAACTATTGTTTTTGTTTTAAAAAAATCAAAATTCTCAAAGAATGGACTGACTCCAGAATATATATGGCTATAGACCGATCGTCTTGGAGGAGTTTGTTAGAGGAGAAACGTCAGAACTGATTCACTTCTTCTTCTTTCTTATCTCCACTCAATCATATTAGGGTATCAAGCTTGAGACTTTTGATGGTGTCTGCCAGGGAAAAGTAGAGCTCATCAATGGATTGAATGAACTGATTCACTTGAAATAATAGATTGTGGAATACCTTGATTTAACGGAAAAATATATTATTTAAAATAAGCTTGTCATATACATATTATTAATAGATGTGTAATGTATGTCTATGACACCTTAGCTTGCTATCTTTGATTATTGGTGTGTAAATATCGTACGTTTTATTGTTTAACCCAGGTTCCTGGAGGCACAGAAAAAAGTCATCAACTACTTATCTGATATCGTACTGTTGCAGCAATGGCCTAACACGAAGAGATTAGAAGAGATAAGAACTTTTTTTATATCTTATCTGTTTGAATTGGTGATTATACTCACACAGTGGTTGGGTGTAACTTTAAATAAAAATGTATCGAACACACCCGTCTACAGCCACACAATATCTTTGTTTGAAACGAATAAATTTGGTCTGATATTGTTTATTTAACTGGCAGCCGGTTTTGTTTTTAAGCAAACTTTGCTCTCCTTAAGTCCAATTCCTTCTAACTTATAGAAACCAGCTTACTTTTATCTGTAAAATCTCTTTTTAAATAATAATAATTTTTAAAAATCCCAGTTTTAAATAACTTTATTAGGCACCACACACACACACACTTACCAAGAGCAACCTAGTTCATAATAAAATAAGACCTAAATTCAAATAAATTAATAGTGTGTGACATTTTGGTAACAGCGTTGTTACTATCATCAGACAAAAGAATAAATGAAATGTTACCGAAACATCACACACTATTAATTTATTTGAATTAGGTCGTATTTTCTTGTAGCTATAATCTATAATCCAAATTGTGCTTTATCTTGTACAATGAATAGTTATATATTGGGGTACTTCTCTCTCTCTCTATCTATCTTATATTTATACAAGGTGAGGTACCTATTGCTCACCCACACATATATGTACAGTAGAACCTCCCTTTAGCGGAAACCTCTCTACAAAGGACAGTTTTCATTTGCAAAATCACCATTTTTACTATTTAGCAACTCTCCAGTAAAAGGTCACCTCTCCCTAAAGGACTCTGGCTCTGTAACTAAGCCTCCTTTACAGGGAGGTTCTACTGTATATACAATAACAATGTTATAAAAGGAATGATACTTATATTACATATTCTGTTTAAAATAAATTTAAAATGTCATTGATCATTTTGAATAAATAGAGGGGCGCATCAGACATGATGTAGCAGTATAGATACATTAGACTCTTTGGCATGTCAATTCTCTTTGCCCAGATAACAATAAAAGAAAATATGTGATAATCTTTACTATTGTGATAATACGCATATACCTAGATCTATATGATAAAAAAATAACTTTAAATATTTCTAAGAATCGCACCCACATTCTCAGTTTATATATTTTTAATTATTCATTAATAATTAAGAAAATAAGACCTAATCCAAATAATTTATTAGTGTGTGACATTTCGGCAACAACATTGTCACCATCATCAGACAATGTATAATCTATAATCCAAACAAGGTAATAAGACCAAATAAATAAATAGTGTGTGACGTTTCGGTAACAGCATTGTTACCATCTTCAGACAAAAGTACTGAATGAGAAATAATCCAAATTGTGCCTTATCAATCTATAATCCAAATTGTGCTTTATCATTAATAATAGAGATATTCAGGTACGCTTTCTATACACGCTATTCCTTTATTCAATGGGTCACCCTTTAACTTGAATATTAATTTTATAGATGACTAGACGAATGGCCCGGGCAACGCCCGGGGTTTACCCGAGTGCGAATATATTTTAAAAACGTTGACTTGGGTGAAGAGTGTTTTTTGTTGCATCATGCTGTGACTCACACGATGACCCAAGGTCAACAGGGGTGGCGCAGCAAGCTTAAGCCTATCACCGTCTGGCGGCGCTGCTTGCGAGTTATATCTACAATTCTGCAAATAACTCTAAGGATATTCAAGATATTCCGTAAATTATTTTTCGAAAACCTTTCCGGGGATATACCTAATAATATCCCAGAATTTCATGGCGATTGGATGTATGGTTTTTGAATAACAGGGTTGTCTAGAGGGGGGCAGGGAGGACACGTGTTCCCTGTCAGCCAATGAGCGCGCAATCTATCCGTGAGCTTCAGACAAACAGACAGAATAAGGCAAATATATAAGTAGATGCACTAGCACCCCCTCTGTATTACAAAACACTAACTAGGTAAAGTGCGACACAATGTTTCTTCCTTTTATTTTTATTATTATTAAAACAAATTTTTCTACTGTCCTTACTGCAATGATAAAATATTTGTAAGGGGGCCTGGCACAGTAATGGTAAACCCTCCCAATGGTTTCACCATTGATGAGCCAGGCCATCACAACTATTTTATCATTGCAGTAAGGACAGTAGAAAGTTATTTTTATAATAATAAAAGAAGTATAAAACAACACTTAAAGTTTCACCGCATAAGTTTCTTTTCTGTGAAAAATCAATATTTATTTCAAAGAGAAATATTTACTATTTCTAACTTTTTTGGATGAAGTGTGAAAGGGTGAAAATATGAAGAGTAATGGCGAACGGAAAAATAAAAGTGTCCAGGGGCGGGAATCGAACCCACAACCTTCCATGTCATGATGGCCATGATGCCATGTCCACTTGGCTACCCTGGACGTATTTCTCCGTTCGTAAATAATACTTAATATGAGTGAAATGTAATAAAAGAAGTATTCATACAATAAGTAATTCATAATTCTTAATAATCATTTTATTATGAAAATAGAATAATCCATAATAGATACTTAAAAAAAGGCATATATTGGATCGAAAAAAATATCCTTTTGCCATATTTCACTTGGCTGAACGCCAAACTTTGTCAAAGGATTATAACATATTTATTTTGTATAATTTAAACTCAGCGCCAACTGAAATATTGGAAAATAAATCGTTTTTAAAATCCAATATTTATATATGACTCTTTATTATCCAATCTCTTTATTTATTCAGATCATTATAACCTTGTTAATTCGACACTTTCAATAATTCGACCATGTTTTCATGTCCCTATCAAATAACGAACGTTAATTCTACTAATCGATAATTTGACACAATTAGTTTTAATTCAACCAATTAAAAAAAAATTCTACACATTATATAATTATTGTTTACATATAAATTTATTGCTTAAAATGCAGTACTTTGGCATGACGAGTAGAGCACCCATAGTTAGTTGTATGCGCATCGTGCTTCAAGTCTTAAAATGCTTCGCAAAATTGGCACTCTATGATGGATGATTTAGGCCTAACTTTAGTGACAGCTAAATTACAGATGTAAACAAGTGTCCTAGTACTTTTTCCTTTTAGCCTTTTCTTTATTTGCTAAATTTATTCACTTTCTATTGTATTTATTCACTCATATTAAAATAATATTTGTAAATTTTCCTTTGTTGACAAATGTATGCGTATGTATTAATGCAATTTTATCCATCACTTCAAGGTAATCATGAAACATTCTGAAAAAAAAAAATTAAATAAAAATAAGTTTCAATATGGTATTACAAATTTACATTAATAATTAAATATATTACAACAGTATTTTATGAAATTTTAATTATAAAGATATATTAAGTTATCAGAGAAAAATGTCCACTAGCAGTGAATGTTTTGCTGAAACTGAAAATTACAAAATTTTCTTTCAAGCAGCCTAAAATATAGAGGTACAGTATCTACCCTTTGAAGAAGTTAGAAGCCAGCCAAAATTCCTTCATACAAGAGTCTTTTATCATTAAATAACATGAGAGGTAACCAGAGAGTGGATGATAATAGATATCAGAATACAGAGTAGTCATTCATATATCACATTCTCCGTCATGAATCTTGCTGGTGGACGTCCTGTTCTTAGATATCTTCTTGAGCTGGACTCACATGGTGATCATTTTCTTCAGCAGGATCTCCTTGTACCTTGATACCTGCTTCCTGTCCTCTCTCGATCTTGCTTCTTTGGTCTGACCTGGAACAACTGTTAACTCTCTACCTGCCTGTGCTTCCATCTTTCATTTGTTCTTGCTTTTTGATCTAACTTGAAACAATTCCTAACCCTCTTGATTCAATCTGCTCTTCCTCTTATTTCTTCCTTCTCATATCTTTTTCTTATTGTTCTACATGAACATCTTTCACTTGACCATTTATCTCTACTTGGTACACTCTGCCACCTTTTTCTTATAATTATACCAGGTATCCAACATTTAATGGAATTATCTCTATAATTCTTGCACCATACTTCCATGACTTTTCTGGTCCCATTTCTGCTGTTTAATTTGGCGTTTTTCTACCCTATCTGTCAGGCATGGATGCAGTAAAATTAATTTGTTTACAAATGCCCTAAAATCAATTCAGCATGGGTTTTGCCTGTTGTTCCATGAGGTGTATTTCTATATATGTAAAGAATTCTTGATATCTTGTATGAAATCGTTACATTGCTCTTGGTTTTTATCTCTAAGGCCTCTTTTACCAATTTTATTGCCCTTTCCGCAAGTCCATTACTTTGAAGATGGCAAGCCGGAATTGATGTCAATTTAATTCCATTCCTTTTTAAAAAATTGTTCATTTCTAAAAATGTAAAGTGAGGCCCATTTATCTGAGAGTAATATCTTTGGAAGTCCATATAGTGCACATAGCCTTCTAATTTGTTCTATTATTTTCTTTGTTGTGATATCTTCCATTAGGATTACTTTTTCCCATTTTGAATGACTGTCCACTACAATGAAGAGCTTCAACCCATTTTTATGAGCAAAATCTATGTGGATTCTTCCCCAAGGATCATTTGCCTGTTCCCAGGGTTGAATATTGTGGACAAATATTTAGCCAATTTCTAATTTATTCAACCATTCCCTTCCTATATACAGTTAAACCTGTCTATAGCGCGCCCCCTCTAAATAGCGCCCAATTTTAAATACTTAGTATGATGCAATTTACATTAAAAGTGACCTGTCTATAGCACCCCCTCTCTATAGCACCCTATTTTGGTGAGTCCCAAGAAGGGGCGCTATAAGACAGATTTAACTGTATTAAAGAGTGTTTATTCCCATGAGCTACAAATGCTTTTCTTTCTTTTTGTGTTATTGTATTCTATATTCAAATTTATTTGATCTAATAGGTTAACTGAAGAACCTTCATATATGTCTTAAGTTTAATATTTACAGGTTGTAATTACACATGTGAAAAATATCTTTGGTAATCTATTTTGGTAACCATGCTGTGGTAAAATTTCTCATTCAGTACTTTTGTCTGAAGATGGTAACAACGCTGTTATCGAAATGTCACACACTATTTATTTATTTGGATTTGGTGTTATTACCTTGTGTTTTCCTCTTCTAAATAATGACTCTTGCACTTATTGGGCTTATTAGAGGATTTTAGAGATTTGCAAACTGAAGCCAGGTGGCCCCTGTTTTGGCATTCAAAGCAGGTAGCTTCTTTAAATTTACATAGCCCCTTATGGCTTTTCCAACAGTTTTTGCACAATTAAATGTTTCCCTCGTATTATTTATTTCAATTTTCTTCTATTTTGTTGATATGGCACAATTTGGATTAAAGATTATAAACACACAGTAATAAGACTGAATCCAAATAAAAAATTAGTGTGTGTAACACACTTTTTTGCCTTGTGGGCTGGAACTGAGTTCTGTTGGAAGACATACATCCTTCCTTCAGCCACCATGTCCATCCAAGGCTTCACAACAATCTCCAGGATGTAGGTGTCAGCATTCAACCTAAGGCCCTTCCCAAAGAAATTGGGAGGCATGATATCACCTTCATTGCTGATAACGTCAAGGACTATCATGGACATTCATGTGCATCACGGCAGGTACCTCTGAAGGGTCTTTACAGATCTAGTGATAATTCCTGGGATTTACCTTTTGGTCCACGTCAAAGTTCTTTTCATGAAAGAAGAACCTCAGCATGCCACAAGTTATGTTTTAGGTTGTTGAGGAGGGCAGCAGCCTTTCCTTTTCTGCTATCCTTCATATTCTCAGACAGCATCTGGCCTTTCCGAAGAGCATAGGACTTGAGACCAAGGTCCTCATAGATAATTCTGACAATTGTCATAGGAGCCAACATCCATTTATTTGGCTGTGACGCTTTTATGCTCAGCCCAGGGTTTCCATCTATCTTCTCCTTGACATTTTTGACAAATTCTTTGTCTCTTACCTGCTCGATCGAAGCAAATACTTTTTCTTCGCAGTCATTCCCATTTTGTTACTGTCTGCCTCATCAAACTACTATTTGAAATGATAAACAGTGGTTTTAGGCAACTTAAGAAAATTCTATTTATCTTTGGGGCTCCTTCTGGCGCACAGAGCAACGATGATGGCTGCTTGATTTTCAAATTCTTGATTATTGTTCATCAATGCACTGCATACACAAGTATCGTTACATTTTATCTGAATATGGCTACGGAATGAAAAAAAAAATTTTTTTAAATCTAAATTAGTATTTGTCTTATGGACTGCCTAATTCACCCGATACATCCTATATATAGTGAATGAATTTTAACATTCATCCTCTGATTATTTTTTTTTTAATTTGACTATTTGTGCAGGGTCAGAAAACCCCATTTAAAAGCCAAAATTTCTAACAAGAATGAAAATATAATATTCTATTTTAGACAACTGGTAAGTTGAACACATATCAAGTGGAAAAAATGATCTTAAAATTTTATTAATGATTATTTTAAATAATATTTTGTGGAATTAACAATATTTTTTTTTCTAGGAAACATGAACGGCTTCAAATATAAATACACTCGTTATATAAATAAAGATGAAAGATGCACTTGCAGAGATGTTATTCCTCAAGATCCTACCAGACATACTGTTGAAAGAGAAAGTGTTGATGAACGCGAATCATCACGAGCCATTTATGAGTCATCAAAGGAAGTGGTGTATTTCACCTACATACCAAAAAGTGACAAGGATGATTTTAGAGATTGTATTGATCTCGGATTTCATTGGCAGACTTCAAGTCAGCCTTGTAAAAATTGCTGGTTGACTTTAAAAAAGTGGAAAACCCTTCCTACTTTTGAATCTGAACATTTTGATCTGGATGCAAAAGATTTTAAAATGGGCGCAATAGTTGATTATACCAAATTTAATTATCACTTCCATTGTGAACGTTTATACATATGTAATTTCAATCATGATCGTAAAGAAATTCAAATTGGTTTTGACAAAGAAAAGAAAAACCAAATGATTATATCATATTTAGGACTTCATAGGATCTTCCTTATGGAAAAAGGAGAAAATATCCACATGTACTTTCATCTTAAAAATGCTCCATTACTTTTTAAAGATATAGGGCAGGTGAGAAGTCAAGTCACATCCTTTAGTGAAGATCATAATCTATCAAGAGAAGTTGTTGGCTTATCCAACATGGCAAGCATAACACTGAACAAAAAGAAAGCAAACTTTCTTTTAAACAGGCTTCGAGCAAGATGTCCTCCAGGGATCGATTTTGTTTTCTGTACCATGACTGAGGCAAACCCAACCTTAGCAAAAACATACCAACCTAGGAAAGAACTTGTCATGAATTTGGAATGGGAATCATTCAAAACAACTTATGCCTGGAATGTTCTTTTAAATGGGGGATATGCTGTTATAGACCAGATTACCTGT